AGAGAAGGAAAGGAAATTTAAGGGCTGCCCATTCTACCTGAGTAGGGACTGTGAGGGTTACAGGTGTGTCAAGACCTCATTCAAGTCCCAGAGCCACCACTCGGTGGCCTTGGGCAGGTTGCTTCATCTCTCTGCCTCAGCTTCCTTTTCTCTGCGATGGTGCTGATCTAGAAATCACCTCCTCGAGCTGTGAGGATTACACGTCCTACTGGGCTAGAGGTGCTTGGCACAGTGTCTGACACATGTTAAGCCTATGTCACCAATGAGCACAATTATTAATTCTCGCTTGAGAACTTTTCTCTGTCCACGGCTTTCATTTCAACAGAGGAGGGCCAAGAAAATATATAGACATGATGAAATGGCTAAGACTGTTGTGCTTTAATTGACAGAAAGACCCTACGTGGTAGTTTGGTGAAGGAAGTGGGAATGGCTGAGACCTCAAGGAAAGCGAGACTGAGACGCAGAGAGAACCTGGTGACTGGGCACCTAGAGAAAGAGCCCAAAGCTAAGCAGGAAGCTGGGAGTTAGGAGGGGAGTTTCCTAGGGAAGCAGAGTGGAGAAACCAACATTTGTGGAGGGTCTGCTGGGGGCTAAACTCTTTGCATAAACAATTTAACCCTCACAACAGCCTGTCAAGTATCCTCATTTTGCAGATGAGGAAACTGAGGTCCAGAGACATGAATGAACTTGCCTATAGGACCTGGCAGGGATTTAAGTCCCAGCCTGGCTGGTTGCAAAACACCCAGGTCACACTCAGGTTGGGACACTGCCAGTCCAGCTTCTATGAGGCCCTAAACCAAACCAGTCCTGCCTGGTAGTCATCTGTCATTCCCGGAGCTCACTGAGGTCACTGTCCGCCTGCAGCTCTGGTTAGGCCCCCAGTCTTAAACAGTACCTTGAATACTACCTTGATGAAACACTTGAATCCCACAGACCCGGACCCTGTGGGCTCTCAGAGCTTCCGTCAGGAGCTACAGGCCTAAAGAGGAGGGTTCTCTGATCAAGGAGGGCCCGGCAGCAGTCTCCCTGGGACTAGAGGTCCTCTGCGCACAGGGCTCCGTGTCTGCTGCAGTTTGGGTTCAAGGAACCGCTGTTTGGAACAGCAATTCAGACAGGACACACCAGAACTGGCAGGGGCTTGGGGCTGTCACGGGGCTCCCAAGAGCACCCTGGGCCCTCTCAGATCCACCGTCTGAGCAGAGGGCAGACTGGGCTTCCCACACATTCTTCCAAAAGCAAAGGGTATCTTCCATCACCCACCCCGGAGTGCCGTGAGCTGCATTCCCAATTCCAGAGCCCCGTGGGCCAGCTGGCTTTCTGAGGTCTGCCAGGGGCCCATTTTGTGAGGAGCTGGCGCTTCCCTGGGGCAGCTGCACGTCCCCCAGCCTTCCCTGCCCCGGCTCTGCGGGAGGGAGTCCAGAGAGCCAGCGCTGCAGTTCTGCGGGTTCCTGCGGCTCGTCCTGGTGGGGTCGAACACAGCAGCGAGTTTCTGCCACACTGCGGCCCGCACCTGCTGCATTCCTCTCTGCGAAGCCAAAGCTTTGGCTGGGTAAGAGGCGGGTGGGAGGCAGAGCTGGAGGAGGGGGCGAGGCGGCGCTAGAGGGCAAGGAGGGGGTCTGCAGATTCTGTCTGGCAGCATCATAAGAATAGCAACACATTTCCCACGGGGCTGGATCCCTTCTCGGGCCTGGGAGAGCTGCTACTGATGGTTTCCTCCTTGGCTGCTTCTTACTGTTGGCAGGAGTCTCTCATGACCGCTCCTCAACTTCTGCCCCCGGTTCCCCGGCCCTGGCAGCACCCAGCTCAGCCCTCCACGAGGTTCTGGTCAGTAAGCTGAGCTCTGCCAAGGGATGGGGTGCTTTCCGCGCGGGGAGGGGGCCGAGGCCCCGGGGCCCCACTGAGAGGACAGCCCGGTGGCGGTGGCGGCGGCGGGCGGCGGGCGGCGCGCCTCGCCGGCTGGGGCCCCCGCCGGCCCCTTTAATTCGAGTTCGCTGGCTGCCAGGTGCGGCGCTGCGTGGCGCGGTGCGGCTGCGGGCGGCGGCCGGGCTCTCCTTACGCGCCGCCGGCGGGACTGCAGAGCCGGCT